CATGTACAGCCACTAACAGAATTCTGTTCCAGAGACCTGTGTGCCGTCAAGCTTTTAGCTGACACGGTCACGGGCCTGCCTGAAGTGGTGCTCGCCTCTGTCTATATGGCGGAGACTGATATACCACCACCGCAGGAAATGGAACGGCTAATCAAATACTGCGAGCAGAACGGCCAGCACATCGTCGTGGCTACTGACTCCAATGCCCACCATCCGTTGTGGGGCATGGAACTCGCAAATGACAGAGGTAAGAACCTAACAGAATACTTATTCACAACTAACCATCAAATCCTTAATAAAGGTACAGCACCAACCTTCGTAAATAAAAGATGCAGGACGATCATAGACCTACCCTAACGTCAGAAGGAGCTGTAAATCTTGTCCAAGACTGGCACGTGTCCGAAGAAGCATCTTTCTCGGACCACAGATGGATAAGATTCAGCTTAGAAACAGCCATCAAAGAACAACAACCGAAACGGAATCCCCGAAAAACCGATCGTAAACTATACATTGACAAACTACACCAGAGCCTGGGGGAAGCGGTAGCACCGGGAAGACTGCTGGACACAGCACAGATAGAAACACAGGTTAAAGAACTAACATCAAACATATTGAACAGCTATAACTCAGCATGCCCACTGAGTGATTAAGCCCAGCAACAAGGCCAACACTGGTGGGGGCCTGAGCTCGAGAGGCTACGAAGAAGGGTAGGGAGACGCTTCAATAGAGCAATGAACACATGCGCGGATGAGGACTGGGAGAACTACAAGACGGCCAAATCCAAACTAAAAAAGCGCATACGGTTCAGGAGCACCGCGTCATGGCGAGGCTACTGCTGGAACATTACGTCTTGTGCACAAGCGAACAGAATAAGGAAAATCCTAGGCAACTCAAACTCCACTGAGCTAGGTTCAATACGCAAAATAGACCACACATACACAACTTCCCCTGCGGAAACGGAGAGAACCCTACTGGAAACACATTTCCCAGGATGTAGGTTCGTCCAAGACGACAGGTGCAAAGAAATGAACTACAATACATCGATCCATAACTGGCGATACGATGAACAAGTAGTAACATACGAAAAAAATGGGCAGTAAACACCTTTGAACCCTACAAAGCTCCGGGCCAAGATGGAGTATTCCCCGCACTCCTACAATGGGGCGGGGACACACTGGTCCAGCACCTGGTCGACATCTTTCGGGCCTGTCTAGTATTCAGCTATGTGCCCCACAGCTGGCGAGAGATAAAAGTCATATTTATACCGAAATCAGGAAAAAACGACTACACTGACACGAAGTCCTTCAGACCAATCAGCCTCACATCGTTCTTCTTCAAAACATTAAAAAGGTTATGTGACAGAGAACTGAGGGATGGAGCGCTTAAGACCATACCACTACGCGGAAACCAACATGCATACAGCCAAGGCAAATCCACTGAATCGGCCCTACATGCCATTGTGGGCAAGATAGAAGTGGCCCTCAAAAACAAAGCAATCTGTTATAGTCTGTTATAGATATTGAAGGAGCCTTCGATAAAACCAACTTCTCCAGCATACAATCAGCACTGAGAAGACACGAAGTGGACGAAGTGCTGATCCGCTGGATTAGCAACATGCTAAAACAAAGAACAATAAAAACAGCAGAAAATGAGACCCCATCGGCTATAGTAGCGAAAGGGTGCCCTCAAGGAGGGGTACTGTCGTTGCTGCTGTGGAACATGGTCGTAAATGACCTCATCATTAAACTAAACAAAGAACATTTCTATACAGTAGGATATGCTGATGATATAGCTATACTGGTAACAGGAAATTATGCCAATACACTTTGCAACATTACATAAGCTGCACTCCGGATTGTGGAAAGATGGTGCAGGGCATACGAACTATCGGTAAACCCAACAAAGACGGAACTAGTAATGTTTACAAACAAAAGACTACTGCGTAACTACCTACTACCCAAACTCTTTAGTACAGAACTACAGATATCAACCGAAGTCAAGTACCTGGGGGTAATACTGGACAACAAGTTGAACTGGAACAAGCACCTGGACAACAAAATTAAAAAGCTACTATCACCTTTTGGCAGTGCCATAGAATGGTGGGTATACTAGGGGGACTTTCACCCAAGTTCATTTTCACATTCATAAACACTATGGCTCCACACAGCGGTGTTAAGACCTATGATCAGTTACGGCGCGATAGTATGGTGGCCACGAACCAAACTGACGACCGCAACCGACTCGCTTGCATGGCGACGACCGGCTGCACGAGGACTCCAACTGCGGCCCTCGAAGCGATGCTGGAACTGCGATCCCTCCCACTGTTCATCAGACAGGAAGCGGAATCAACAGCAGTACGTCTAAACAGAGCTGGCCTTCGGAAGCACGTGAGGACCCCACACACAGAAATCCTCTACAAGACTGTCAATGAGGAACCGCTACTGGAGGCGGCTGTGGATAGGATCCCAAAACAATACATCTTTGACAAAAAATACAAGATACAATTGTTTAAAGAACCCAACGAAGGACTGAACCCCAGAGAGATCCGCGTCTTCACTGATGGATGTAAAACAAATTCAGGAACAGATACTGGGGTATTCTCAGAAGACCTCAATATCAGGATATCAACGCCACTTGGTGACCACAACACAGTATTCCAGGCTGAATGCATGGGCATCAAGTTAGCGGCAGAAGCAATCATAGCGAGAAGAGTTAAGAATCACTCCATTCGAATACTCTTCGACAGTATGTCAGTACTACAAGCACTGAACAGCTATGACATAAACTCAGGGCTCATTTATGAATGCCATCAAGCACTCTTGGAGGTATGTATACAAAACCACGTAACTCAACAGTGGATTAAAGGACACAGCGGCTCTCGTGGCAATGATGCAGCAGATGAACTAGCCAGAAAAGGGTCGGAGACGGACGCTGTAGGACCAGAACCCATAGTGTCCCTCTCCTACAAATGGTCCAGAACAACTATACACAAAGGTACAAAATCTTCACATAATAATACATGAACTACCCTTACGGTTTGTAGACAGGCGAGGGAAGCACTCCCAATGCTCAATGCCAGTCTATCTCGAATATTTATTAAACTCAAAAGGCAAGAGCTTTACACTCTAACTGCCATCCTAACGGGTCATGGTCCACACAATAAACACCTTTTCAATTTAGGTATCACAGACAGCCCTCTAAGCAGCGTGCATGGAGGGGGAAGAAACGGCTGCGCACATCCTACTACAGAGCTCCGGCGTGGTCAACTACAGGGCAAAGTACCTTGGGAGTGCCAGGGTCGCTCCACGAAGTCTTCAGCAAACCGAGGAGGATGCTGAGATTCCTGGAGGAGCTTGGGTGGCACGAGTAGGACCCTGCACCCACCACACGCAAAATAGGCGCCTTGACGTCGAGTTGCGGACACCAGCCCGTTACAAAGTACCAAGTACGTTACGTGGTCAGAGCGGCAATCTGTTATCTATAATTCTATTATAGAATCCTAATAATTACACATGTTCATCACGTGTTTATATATCGATATAACATAATATTATATTTTTCATTAATTCACTAACTGGAATAATATTGAACATTTATTTTAAAAATATATTAAAAGCACTTCAAATGTTACATTTTGGAAAGGCACCTTTAAATAAGGTAACCAAAGTATTTGAAATTGTGTGTCCAAGTTTATCATTACCTTGTTAATAATGAGGTATATTCACTACGTAATATTTTAACGGCAATGCAAGTTGAAATGTCGAGAGCCCTTCTCTAGCTCACGAAGTTATGCCGTCTCATTACATTGATATAATAAATATGTATTATATATTACTCTGCACTAAAGAAAACAATAACTGAATGAGTCTCAAACATAAGTTTTTTTTGCTTACTTTGTTTCATCTTTCAAAAACCGAAGGAAACCCTTTTTTTATCCCATTTAAATGATTATAAATAGCCATACACAACACAATTCATGATCATTATAATTAGTAATGTAAAATTATGTTATATATTAATGTACAAATTTTGTAATGAAAAAATGAAAGTTATATCCAAAAATCAAAGCTGTCTTTGAGCGAAAATGGCTTGCCAACAGCCTTTTTCTCATTCAATCAATGTGACCGTCAATGTGCGGGGAGCGGTGCAGTATCTAAAGTTAGGGAGGGGCAGAGAGTCTTCGTTCTCATTACTTATTTGTTCTGCCCAAACATTGTACCTCTCAGGGCTACGTTACGGTTACATTCCACCAATACATGGTACAGATCCTCTAGTTTATTGCAAGTGCTGCACAATGGTGACGGTTTAAAACACATCAAGAGTTAAAAAACTATTTACACAATTATTTAAATCCACTGTGTTACATTATCCCTTGGGAGTGGTCAGGTTGGGTGTCCTGTCTTTTTCATTGATAAATTTCAATAGATACAACGTATGTCATTCTAAAATAAAAAGTTGTTGTTTTTACCAGTTTTAAGCAAATTTGTATGAAATTAAATTGCCCTATTCAAAATGTCAAATCCTATGTTTTTTTAGAAAACTTTTTAAAAAGAGTTACTCTCAATATGTAAGACGTTTATAAAGATTTGTTGCAACCGACAATGTTAGGATCAATAATGCGTTTGGAATACACATCTTAGTAATTCTAATTACATTTTTTGAATAAAACTATTTTTTTTCCGATTTCACATGAAGAATCCAGAAATGATGATTGCGTAGTTTAGTTTAGTAAATATAGTCTACCTACCTATCCCAAATAATGTTAATTTTAATGTACTTAACAGATGTCCCGAATCCTAAAGAAGTTTCCTATTTCCATCTCTGTTCCTCGAAGTAAAGAAATTGGAAATAGATTTAACTGTCTTACATCCTTAGACTTAATGAAAACATGCAAAATAGGGTTGTGGTATAGTTGCGGAACCCGGAGTTGTGGCCCGTTGCATCATACGTATGGTATTGCTTGCATTTCTACATCATATTTTAATAAGAAATATACATACCAAGGATTTCATAGTAATCCTTGCACTTTGTATTTACACGACGTACGGCCTCCAACTGCTCCGACGAATACTCTCTATGCGACGTAGTATGCGACGAGGGTTTGCGTCGTCTGACATCCTCAGTGGATGGCGTACTTGGCGGTGTTTTCTTTGAAGAACTTGGAGGACTACCTGATCGTATGAGAGTCAAAAGCTCTTTAGCGCGAAGGCTAGGGTATAACTTCTCCGCTTTGATAAGAAATTTCTCCGCTTTCTCAATATTCCCTGAAGAAAATGCATTTTGAGCAATCTCTATACATCGGTCTGCTTCGTCCTTGTTTCCTTCGATCGTCATTTTTGTCCTTTATACTAAACTTTTTAACCCAATAATGGTGTTCGTTTATGCGTAATGCACTATAGTATGTCTTTGAATGCGTGTCACGCAAATTTAATTAAAGCAAATAGTGGTATTGACGATTTAACACACTCATTAGACGAAAATTCTGCAATTTTTATTGGGAAAAGTAGATATTGCGTCAAATCCTCGTCAAAATAGTAATTGTTGCTATATGTGAAAATTTTAATCGATATTTCGCTTATTTTACTTGTAAAAAATGTCAATAATATATTCAGTAAAATAAAAGCAATACAAGATGCAATTTTTGTAGAGCGTTATTTCTTTCTTGCAATATAGTACTTTACTTGTCTTTTCTAAAGTGATTTAGTTGCATTGCCAGTAGTTTGTGAAAATTCCGCTAGAGGGTCAGAACATTTTTCTTGAGTTTTTTACTGATTGGTTAAATTTCTGACATTATCTGATTTCTACCAATCGGATTTCACCACAGATTTAATGGAACGCGAACTAGTGATCTAGTAGCTAAACATAACAGTGTTTTTTTCGTGAAAAGCGAGATAGCAATAGCCATTTCGTAATGAGTGTAACAAGAATGACTGCAATTAGTTCAATGATAATTTCGTTAACCGGACGTGGAACACAAGTCAAGTGACTGACGTACATTTTCGCTGTAATGACGCATAGCATTTCTTTGAGAGAGAAAACTGTTATAATTCCGCGTCAAGCGTTTTCAACGCTTAGATAATAAGTGCACAATCACCTAAAACAGTTGTATAAACAGTGTAAACCCATTTCATTAGTCCATCGTCGAGAAAACGGTATAAAATCATGGCGCAACCAATTACCATACCATACCCGGTAAGTAATTTTGCGAAGTGTATTTTCTTGAATACTAAAGCGATACGACAGTAGTAAAGGCTAGGTGATGCTTTTTTGGTATCTTCAAGGGCATCTAGAGCAACAATACTTGACCGTGAACATTATTTACTCAACAAACAAATGAGTTGATCTATTGGCGGCGTAATTTTGCTATGTACCGTACATGGCTGTATAAGAAAAAAAAGCCTAAATTGAATGTTTATTCAAGAAACGGAAACAAATAATATATACATAGACAAATACATATTAACTCTAAGTTATATGAATTAAAATGATTTTGTACATAACTGATAGCAGGTGTGGTCACTTATTTTGTTATAAATAACGAATTTTTGCGCGGTATAAGCAATGCATAATAGATTGTAAAAATATAGTATGTAATCTAATTTATACTGTTTATATGAAAAATTATTGGACTTTCTTGGACAGCAATGCAATCTTCTTTGTTTGTAAAAATTTAGGTAATACGTTGATTATCTTGAAGAAGCACTGATTAAATACTAGATATATTAATGGAAAATAGTATATGAGATACATATCGAGTTCTTAGGTTTTCGCGATTGTTACACATAGGAAATGAAACTATTTTTCCAGATTTAAATTGCGTATATTTTGTTTTTTCAAGAAAACCGACGTTTCGGGCTCTTTACAGGTCCCATGATCACGGTTGACTGAGGTGGTACAGTCTTCAACAGTTATGTCTAATATTAATGCAAACCACCCCATTTTTTCACTATAGTTACAAAAGTTATTAATTAAATACCTTATTTTTAATTTTACAAAGAAAACATTCCACTTTACGCTGCAATACAATTTTACAAATGAATTTATTGATTGAATTTTTGTGAAGTTTAATTTATTATTAATTAATGATAGAAATTAGAATAAATTAAAACAATAATTAGTACTAGAGTCTTATGTCTGTTTGGGATTTTTCATCAGAGGAAATACTGGATCCCAAACTGGTAGTATGGAGAAACCATATTCTCTGTTGAAATTAGGAAAAAAGAGAAAAATAGTTTCATTTCCTATATGAGATACATAGTTAAACCGGTTGTTCTTGATATACAGTGTGTAACTTGGAATATATGGGGAAATATGAAACTATATACAGTGAAACTGTTTTAGGTAACATCAACTTGTTTTTGTGAAAACAATTTTGGCATAGTCATTTTTTTGTTCAAGCTTAAATTGTCCGTAAAAATTAATAAAATTGTTTATTATTTTTTTAGTGCTTATTGAATCAGTTTCATGTAAGGATAATTTCATTGTATTGGAAGAAAAAAATTGGAACAGCAGAAGTTGATGAAATGTAATTGAAAGTTTTTTAATATGAATAACATTTTACTTAATTTGACTAACTTCTGCTGTCCTGATTCTTTCTTCTGATACAATGAAATTATGCCTTTAAGTAACTGAGTACGTCGGCATTAAAAAAAATAGTCAATTTTATTCATTTTGACCAGTGAAACAAGATCTACAATCCCCATGCTGGACTGTCAAACAGTCAATCAAACATTCAAAAATTAACTTTTTAAAATTAAGTATACATTTGTAAATCTACTTAGGATATGTTCAAAAACCAACTGGGCATTCGATAGAACAAATAGTGGTCTGGATTCTTGGCGCTTTGTGAAACAAGTTATATTTTTTTTTAGAAATTCACACCACCACCACCAGATGCATGAAACATCGAACACATCCAGCATCCATAGGGCCATTAAAGCCTTTACAATAAATTTTTTAATTAATTGACTATATTCGCCGACAATAGCACGGTCAGGGACAAGGACATAGGGTCAAGAATCAATAACAAATGCCTCATTTTGCGTGTATAAATTGAGGAAATACATGATTATCTTGAAGACCAAATACTAGCTATGTTAATGGAAAAATAATGATCTAGACAATATTAATATGAGATACATCATTAAACTGGCTGTTCTAGATATACAGGTGTTTCTTTTAAAGGGGACGGTATGGGGAAATCAAAATTATAGGAGATACAGGGAAACTCTTAGGGAACATCCTAGTTTTTTGTGATAACAATTTTGAAAGTAATCAAGTTTTTAGTACACTGGTACAGTTATCATAACTAATGCACTTGTATTTCGGTAACTTGGTGATTTTTTTAAGCCTGCTAGGAAACAATGTGCTGTGGATGCCATGGACACGCATAGACAGCCACAAATTACATCCAAACTCATGAGAGAAATAAATGTAGGCCATACAAATATTTCTTCCAGCCCAGGAATCGAACCTGGGACCTCTGCGTCAGTTGAGTTTCAATAGAATGTCGGTGATGGCATTCAATCACTAACGATCAATGTTGCCTTACTAAAACTAACTAGGAAATTACTAGATATATCTTAATGTTTATCTCGTTTAATCAGCAATGTAGTCTTCAAATTAAATATGTATAATATTAGTAGACTACGCCATCGATTCGCCATTGAGGAGCGGAATACCAAAAAAATGCAATGGCAGTTGAACTACAGCTCAATGACTAACCACTCCTGGGGGTCAATTCAGAACCTTACGATAGCACAGTCGTCGACCGATTCGATTTGATCGCACGATTTCTTTTCATTTTTATTCACAACACCCTAATCGAACGTCTGTCACATTGGAAATTTTTACACCTGAGAATATAATTTTTCAAGCTACTGCTCGTTCACTACGCTGACCTCCCTGAGAAGAACTAGCAAGAAACTCTAGGGGTTGCTCTTTTCAAATAAACTTAAATGCTATGGAATACATTTTGAATCATAAGTGTTTGGAATCTAGACTCTGTTGTCTTTCCATACATCTTTGTCTAAACATTATTGAGAACACAGTTATCCTATGAAAGTTACCGAACACCCTATTGTTTACAAAGCAAGAATGTAATATGGGAATCTCTTATTATTTTAAATAAAGTCTGGATGTTGTTCAATTTTATTAATTTATTTTGATGCAAAACTAAAGCATTCCTATATTTTAGGTCTTTGAAGTTTTAAAAATGTATATAAAAGGATTTTAATTTTTTTATAATCTACTCGTATTTCACCGACTAACTCCGTAAACGCTGTTGGATAATGATATGGTTTCCGAATCCCAATCGAACGATAATCTCGAATAGCGATGGGCGAGTCGAGTTATTTGACTCGAGTTACTCCTATGACGAGTCAACTCGAGTTACTTTTGTCATGACCTCGAGCTCAGTTCAAACCATATTTGTATTGCAAAAACGGGCGATTCGTTCTGTGTACCGTCTAGACTCTCGGGTTTTTCTCAGAGAAAAGTTTAAGGAGACTGGTATCATGACTGTGGCATCACAGTACATTTACTCAAATATTTTATATGCCCGTAAAAATATACATAATTTCAATGAGAAAGAAGATATCCATAATATTAACCTTAGAGCTAAGTCCAAACTCATGGTACCATGATTTCGTTTAACCAAGGTAAACGACTCTTTTATGGGGAACTGTATACGTTTTTACAATAAGATTCCGGAGCATATATTAAGTTTATCATTTCCTAAGTTTAAAAACTACTTTAAAAATATTTTGATCGAAAAATCATATTACAAAATTGAAGACTACATGTTAGATAAAGATGTATGGAAAGACGACATGGCTCTAGATTCCACACAAATTTGATTCAAAGTGTATTCCATAGCATTTAAGTTTATTTGAAAATAGCAATCCCTAGAGTTTCTTGCTCGTTCTTCTCAGTGAGGTCAGCGTAGTGAACGAGCAGTAGCTTAAGTGTGACATTTTCAAGTGTAAATTTATTTTACCTATGGAATAAATAATCTTCGACTTTGAGCTAACTCGGTTGACCCGCTCCGCCCGCTGCCGAACCGAATACTTTATTCATACAGCGCGTCGGTGACCTTCGGAGCACGCTCGAGTCGCAAGTGATGGGCGAGTCCAGTTATTTAACTCGAATTACTCCCACAACCAGTCAACTCGAGCTACACGTTGTGAACTTGAGCTAACTCGGTTTGGTTCCCGTCAAGTCGAATGTTTTATTCATACAGCGCGTCGGCTATTCGTTCTCACTCGGTCGGTTCGGTGATCTTCGATCAGACAAGTCGCCGTCGGCCGGCCGATCGTGTCCAACTCGGTGAACCGTCGGTTCGAGTTCTACTCGCGGTTGTTCTGTCAGACACCGAGTCGGGTTAGCTCGAGTTGCAACTGGAGTTAGCAGTCACGTCAAATCGAGTAACTCGAGTTGAAACAAATAGAAGTCGTCCTATCGCTTCTGAATAGTTTAGAATAGGTTAAAATATCGAAGAGTTATGAATCAGGGTCCTGTTAACTTCTAGCAGAATACTAAACGCATAAATACTGCTATTGACACCCTATCCGACGCACATCAGAATTGGGGCCCTGGTCTTTGGCGACTCTATCCTTCCAGCGATATCTCGGACGCCACACTGGACGATGCCCCGTAGGTTACACCAAATACTCCCTCTCGACAGCTCGTTCCTTTCCGATTCTTTCCACATGTCCCAACCGGTGAAGTCGAGCGGATTTTATTTCCTAGATTTTTCAATAATATCAAGTGACGGGACGGACAAGTCGTGCGCCTGTTGGTAAGCTACACGCCTGTCCATAACAGTTGCAGTGCCACTCAGAGCTTTATATCGCAAAGACCTGACGTTTTAAATTAATGAATTTACAAGTATTTATTTAATGCATTTTAATTTCACATTTCAATTAACAATTAACAAAACAAAATAATGTTAAACCTATACAGATTTTTCGTACATAATTATTCAACATAAGCGACTGTATCGATGCCGTCGCGCGTGTTTGTATCGATGCAATCGCCGATAAATCGCAAGTGCAGTCGTAAAGTGTAAAGTATACGAGTGTAAAGACGCCGTATGTAACCACTCTTAGATCTGAGAAAAAAAACTTCCTTTCGAATATGTAACAATTGCGAAAACCTACGAACTCCTTAGAAGTTTGTCTACAGACTTACGAAGCCATTACGACTCTTAAAGTTCTGCATTTTGTTTGGTCTGTTCATATCAACATGAGTTGACGTCACCGGAAAGTTCAACTTTAAAAGCTCCTTATATAACTCGATTAAGGATTTCATATTATATATTGTGATGTAAGTAAACAAGTGATAGTAGCAGTAGAGCTCTTTGTGAAAGAGGTCGTCCCGGGAAGTACTCCCACCTTACCTATTTCTGCCGCCAAGCGGTAATGTGAGCTAGAGATGCGTGACTTTGAACTGACTCATTCGAGTGAGCACATCATTCGTCTAAGTCGGATACAAGCGCAATCGTTCGTCTCGAGTCGAATGATTATTACCTCAAAACTACTCTGAACTGCACCAGCCATTGAAAATATCCCTGTCCCCATCACTTTTACGGTATTTACCGTACGTCAGAGAAGGCTAGGCAGAAATGCTCTGAATGATTAGTAATGAGTGATCATTTCATCGTAAATTAGTACGTTACTAATTTATCATTCGAATGAGAGGATTAGTAACTATTAAGAGGGAGCAGAGGAAAAATTCATAATCTTCGATTTGATTTTACAGGGGTATATCCACTTTAAAGTAAAAAATAAATATTGTATGAGTAACGACGCGATATATTCAAGCATGGACACAAATCAGAAACATAAAACAATAAAGTTTCCTCTATAGATGAAAATCACGAAATGACCTCTAATTTTCACATTTTTTCGATTCATCCTCGAAATGCTACAGGTTATTACGACAAAAATTAGATAATTAATTATATTTATGCATGATCGAGAACTGTCACTACGGATTTTTATTTAATCCCTTTAGTTTTAGAGTTATTCCGCTAAAACGAATTTGGTACTTTTATGCGCATAATTCAACATGTCCTGTCGCATGTCTCGCGAACTTCAGGCATATATTTGATTCACAAATTTGGGCAGAGCCAACGTCAAAACTTTTTTGGCATGCTCCCTCTTAACTAGTCGAATATCGAAATCATACGCAATCGCTAACGTTAGCATTACTGCGTTCCGACGACAGATAATAGTGCTGTTTAAAGTATCGCGGCTTGTATACTTAAATGAAGTTGTTCACACATATAACAACACGATTAACTATCGTTTACGACCTTTTTCACGTTACGACGACAGACTGTCGTGACAATGGTAAGAACTAGAACGACAGTCGTCCAACGATAAATAAAACGTCACGATAATAATGTGACGACAGTCTGTCGTGCAAACGATAAGGCGGCTGCCGTAAAACGATAAATTTTCGTCACGACCTAGGGGGAACAGCTAGACACGACAGTCGTACAACGATACAATAAACGTCTACGACACAGTCACGACAGATAGTTGTGGTATGGGAACAGGCTAGACACGACAGTCGTTCAACGATAAATAAAACTTTACGACATAATGCGCCCTAAGAGTGCTGGCGAAATTGCAGACACATAGTGACGGACAATGCCCGTCAGACCATTGCGATTAAAAACTCTTAGTTGCACTGCAACTGTTATGGACAGACGTGTCGCTTACCACTAGGCGTTGCCGCTACATGCGTCTGTAGCAGCAACACTTGTCCGGACGACGTCTTTAATAACGAGCTCAATAGCTACAAAATATGTATTGTATTATATAGGCGTGTGTGGTCCTGGGTTTCTTGGAATAAACCTTCGATTTCAAAATACCCCAAATAAGAAAGTCGTGATCTGGGCGGCCAATTCTGATTACCAAAACTAGAAATTACATGACTAGTGTGGTTAAAACGTTAAAATATTTATGTTTTAGTTTTACCTTTGACAATTAGCGCGTTAAAAAATGTGCGCAACGTGTCACATTGGTAATGCTTCGTTTTTGGTTTAGCTTTGGTTTTTGTTTTGACAGTTAGCGCGATACGAAATGTACGCAATGTGTCACATTAGCGACGTTTCGTTTGTGGTTAAGTTTTCGTTTTACAGTTGATAATTAGCGCGCCCTGGAAATGACTCGTGGAGTAATTGCATTGTTTCTCGCGCTGTAAGGCACGTGGCACTGTCTTGTTAAAGCTTCATGTCATCAAAATTTTTTTAGCTTTTTTGGATTCGAAGGTTTATGTTAATAAGCCCACGATTGCCCACGACCACATACGCCTCGAAGATGGAAATTGAGCGCTGTGTCACCACCATTCAACCACAGTTGTGCAAAATGGTCATCGAATATTTTATGGAAAAAGTGCGATTGGCCAGCAAAGCCGTGGAGGGCATTTACCCGTCATGCTTTACCACACATAACCCTATACTACGTACTTCATGGATCAATAAAGAAATTACAATTTTTAATTGTAAACCTGTGTATTCAATCAAAATTACTTCTTGCGTGAATTTTGGGACACCCTAAAGAAAGAAAGAAGCATTCGTTCGGCTATTCACGAACAATATTACAAACATTACAATTGGATACAAAATCTGATAAAAACAAAAAGAAGCTTACAGATTAAAAACTTAAGTACACAATATCAGCCGAAAAGTTTAGCCAGCTCAGCTTTATGCTAAAATAGATATTATAATAATATTTTTCTTGATTTGTGTTCACAATACAAAACAAAGTAACATTACCGTAGAAGATGCATATATACATACGCTTAGAGTTATGTTTTGTGGAAGACTGTAGCCCAAACCAGAGAATAAAGAATAAGAGAACGGACACTCTCCGCCCCTCACTGGTTTTAGATACCGCACCACACCCCGCACATTGCCGGTCACATTGACTGAACGACAACAAGGCTGCCGGCGAGCCGTTTTCGCGAGAAGACGGCTTTAATATTTGAATATAGTTTTCATTTATTCATTACGAAACATCTATGTAAAATATAATTTTACGTTGCTCTTTATAATGGTCGTGAATTGTGCTGTGTGCGGCTGTTTATAATCATTTTCCGAAAGATGAACCGAAGTAACTAAAAAAAAACATGTCTCTCAGAGTCGTATTCCTCTACTCAATACTCAAGTCAGGACTTGAGTATTGCAGTGAGCACTGAGAATCATACTCAAGCCCTTGCCATTAGGGTCGTATTTTCAGTGTTAGAAATCATTCTCAAGTCTGCTCAAATCCTGACTCAATCAGGTTCAATCAGTTATTGTTTTCTTCATTTATTTACTGCAGAGTAATATATGTATGTACAAAAAATACAGATTTATTATATCAATATAATGAGACACTATGACTTCGCGAATTTTCTATTCGTATTGCCGATAAATATTACGTAGGTAATGAATATATCTAATTATTAACTAAACTTGGACAAGCTATTTCAAATACCTTGGTTACCTTGCTTAAAAATACATGTCCGAAATATAACAATTTAAGTGCTTTTAATATATTTTTGAAATAAATCTTCAATATTACTCTAGTTAGTGAATTAATGAAAAATAGAATTATATATCGATATAAATACCTAATAGACATGTATAATTATTAGAATTCTATTAATAGAATCATAGATAACAGATTCGCTTTAGAATTTTCGGTATTTTGCCGCTTTGATCACGTAACGTAATAGTGCGAGAAAGTGATAGGTAACCGCACACATTTGCGCGTGTGCAAATAGCGCCTTGCTGTATGTAGTAGTAGTAGGTAAATAATTTTCGACGGTTGTATGGAGTGTCCGGGGTGTGCCCAAACTAAGCAGGGCTTGTAATATGGGCCTCCAGGCACTCAACCCCTAGGATGTCAAGTTAGTGGTATTGACTGTAAGAGTATTGAGAAAATATATAATTTATACCTAAATAATAACTAGAAGAAATTGTATGTGTATGCGTGTGCTTGCGGGCGTGTGAGTGTGTACGCATGAGATTGTTTGACGATTTTAATCAGATTTTCAGTCTCATCAACAAAAGATATCTAGTCAATTTTAACTTGCATTCGTTTTTAGAGGGAGCATAAAGTGAATATATATTATTTATTTTATTATATAAGAAAGGGCCTAAGAATAGAAAGGAACGCTGAACAGCAGTTGTCGAAACTAATTCTGGAGGACATATATGTGGGATGGGATGTTACATTTGACTCGTAACTTCTTTTTATTTGTTATAATTATTAATACAAAGATCGAACAGAAAAATTCTTCCTTCGATCCAGCCGGATTCGAACCGACAGACGTCTTCTAGCATACAGTGCCAGACGCTATACCAACTAAGCCACGGAACGAACCAGCGGACCTCACGAATTTTTCTATCTGCTTGCGTCGTATCTTTGTATTTGGTTTTTTTAGACGTAGCGTCATCTATGACAAATCAACAGTTAAAAAAACAGTTAAACACCTTTACAGCTACCAGCCCCAGCTGGAAATGACGCTATTCATTGTATTTAAATTTTTTTATTGATTTCTTTTTATTTTCTTATTAATTTTTTACAAAAAAACATGAGGCACACGTGACAATCAAAAATCTCTCTCTGCCGTCTCACTCCTTCCCCACCACCATTCTTCCTCCTCATTCCTCTCCTTCACTCTCGTCATTCACTCTCATTCTAATTTCATTTTATTTATTTTTCAGGGAGTACCATGCGTCCATGGCATTCCTGGCGGGGCTTTTCCGGGGCGAGTCATCCTCGTGCAGGGGTCAACTTCTCCGAACTCACAGAGGTATGTGTGGAGTAACTTTTGAATATACTTGTTTTTGGATCCCGGTTTGATACGTCTAAAACGGACCAGATTTGGTTTCTTCTTCAGCGAAACTCGGTATAACTTCGTAATCTTCCCGTTTATTGACACTTGGGAAAGTGGATTGTATACATTTCCATAAAATCTTATTTGAACGCCTTATCTCTATGTCCATCTGACTTACAAGTCGTATAATCGAACAACAAATCGAAATATCGAATAAAATTTTTTTTATAATATCAAGTGACTAAGGTAAGCTACACGCCTGTCCATAGCAGTTACAGTGCCACTCATAGCTTTAAATTTCAAAGATCTCAGGGGCACTGCCACTACGCCCGTCACCCTGAGACATAAGTTGACAAGTCCCATGTGCCTGTAATTTCACCAACACCCTAAACCCAACACACTAAAAGTTAACCAACGAATCTTACAAGATTCTCTTATATGTATGGCGATACTTTGATCGGCCCTATCAATGCGCCGCGGATGAAGCCCGGCCAAAAAGACCCCGTGAATTATTTACGTAATTCTACTCCTATTTGCTCTTTCCGGCCAGGCGGGTACGGTCGTCCGTGACACTGTGCCCGGACCTCTGAGTTTATCGGAATTTATGTGCGATATTTAATTAGAAATTTGCTATGAGCTTTTCGGCGAAGGAAAACATCGTGATGAAAACCTGCGCGTCAGAGAAGGTTCACAACACTTGGAAAACGTAAGTCCACAACCCGCACTGGGCTAGCATGCGGCCTAAGCCCTCGCCTAGACCCGTATCAAGCAGTGGGACGTATAAATGCGTTGATGATGATACTTGTGGTCTAGGATCAGGCGAAAGACAGTCACTGGTGTTCTTTTTCTGACGAATGAACAAGTTAGGGGATGTCAGACGTGACCATGCGAACTGCAAAGGGCCCGAAATGTTAGATCCGAAAAAAAAATTAATAATATCCTTCGTCGCGGTGGCAATGGTCTCCTGCGAGGACGTGATGTCGCACTCCCGCGACCTCTCGCTGTCCAGCATGGCTGAAATCACGCTGGGCAGCGACAGATCGCTTCCAATTGTCGCCACCAGCTGGGTCCTCTGCGTGGCAGTCCGATATGGTAACCGTTCGGCCACGGACTGTTTTGTGTCTATTTGAAACCCATGGAGTTACTAAACCCGGGTACTCACTAGCGAGTTGTAACCGTTGCATGTTATGTAACCAAAAAATCATAGTGTGTACGTGGTTCGCGAGCTTGCCGCGTGCGGTATGCAGTGAGCCATTTGATGGAAGACTGTTTCAAGCGTACACATTAGAACCTCATTACTGTATTTGTTACGTTACAACTCGCTGATGAGTAGTATATACAGTGGATACAGGTATACAGGTATACAGGTATACAGGTGATACAGGTATCACGCAGTGTGCGATGGAATTGCACGATTTAATTCCGGCTTCCCCTTTCCACCATCGCGGAACTAATCGTGTGTTGGGATTCCACGAGCTATTTATTGTACAAGTCTTCTTTGTTATCAATATAAGTGTTAAATTAGGAATTTTTAGAGCCTTGAATATCGCTGTAAAGTTGCATGCTTTTCGGTATTCCGTGGGATAGATCACGGAAAGTGTGCGATGGAATTGCACGATTTAATTTCACTTTCCACTTTCTATGATAGGGGTACTAGACGTAGGCTTAGGTTCCACCCCTATGTTGTGGTGAATAGTTCATTCTTTAATTTTAGTTTTAATTTGTATATTCTTTATTGCACCAAAAATACATTAGGAAATATTAATTATAGAAAAGCGGAGCAAAGGTGGATTTGTCTCTAAAAGAAATCTCTTCCAGCTAACCCAAGGCAGTGAGAACAAAGGTCATAAGCGGGCAACACTGTGCAAGTAAAAAGAAAGGAGAAGGAGAAAAATAATAAACTTAGCATGTAAATAGAAAATAAATTAAAAAAATTACCAAGTATTATGAACATATAAAATATTTAACTTGAATATACCCACATTATTTTGTAAGTACAATTTAAAATGAATGGTACCGAATAAAATTTTCTTTCTTTTTTACCACCAATAAACAAGACTTCGTATCATAAAAAAAATTGTATTTACAGGTTCGCAATCAACCTTCAATGTGGCCCCAACACTGACCCTCGCGACGACATCGCGCTCCATCTGAATTTTCGTTTCGTGGAGATGCTGGTAGTCCGGAACCATCTAGTCGGGCAGGTGTGGGGCAACGAGGAGACCGCTGGAGGCATGCCGTTGCAATTGGGCCAGCCGTTCGACGTTAGGCTCATTTTGGAACCTCAGTTCATTAATGTAAGTACATTTTGTCTGTAGCACAATACGATTTTCTTATGACCTCCGCGGAGGAGTGGCCACAATCCACCTGTTGCTTGATCAGTTTGTCGTATAGTTTGGAAGTGAAAAACTCAATATTTAATTTGTATTGAATTTATTTAGTATTGTGCACAATTGCGCCATTACGGTCGGAACAAAGAAGAGCGAGGGCCAATGTTGCCCACATAAACTTATAAAATGTATATTAATGTTGCCAACATATTGCAGGCCACGTGAATTGAAAACACAATGAAATGGTACTTATAATATAACTTATAAACGATTAGTATAAGTAAAGATAAGTACTACACAATATCAATGAAATTATTTCTATTTTAATTACATTTTACAATATACGACATAGTACAATTGAAATTGTTTTTATTTTCGTTACATTATAATATCTTTTGGAAATAAGCATATTTTTGTAATCGATCGTACATGTTTTTTTTCTATTTAGAGTCATAACTTCAAAAAACTTTATTATCATTATCAGGAAACAGTTTTGTAATACGCCCTAAGGGCCAAGGTAGGGTGTATTATCCTCCTTTAATAAAACTAAATCACCTACATTGACATTAGGCATTACATTTTTCCACTTAGGCCTAGACTGTACACTGTTAAGGTACTGTTTGTGTCAAACACGCCAAAATGATTGCACTACATGATTAGTGACATTCCATGATCTAAGTCTAGATATATGTATTCTAGACACGTCTTGTTTTGGATAGGAAGTGAGTGCTGTGCCTGCTAAAAAATGACCAGAAGTTAGGTACGTGAAATCATCAGGGCTAGTGCTCAATGGTACTAACGGTCTGGAATTGAACACAGCTTCCACTTGTGCCAAAACAGTATACATTTCCTCATACTAAACTCATAGTAAAGAATTTCCTACAACCCTCTTGAAGTGATACTTAGTACTTTTTACCGCAGCTTCCCAAAGGCCACCAAAAACCGGGGAATAGCTCGGAATTAAATGAAATTTAACATTTAAACGAGTGGCCCATCCATAGGTCGCTGGTTCATATCCGGCTCGAAGGACCATGTTGCTTGATCAGTTTGTCATATAGTTTGGATGTGAAAAACTCAATAATTAATTTGTATAGAATTTATTTAGCACTGTACACATTACGGTCGGAACAAAGAAGAGCGAGGGCCAGTGTTGCCCACATAAACTTATAAAATTTATATTAATGTTGCCAACACCACCGGCAAAGTCAAAGTCAAATAATAATTTATTCCATAGGCAACATTTTTACACTTGAAAACGTCATTTTTTAAGCTACTGCTCGTTCACTATGCTGGCCTCTCTGAGAAGAACGAGCAAGAAACTCTAGGTATTGCTCTCGTTTGCCCTGAAATCACAAATTAGAAAGCTGAAATAGTACAGCGCCAACAACTGACCTGTGTGTACGTCTCCGTATATTCCAAAAACATTCTGTATTTATTGTAATAAAGATAATTGTGGTTGTGGGAAGAACAGAAAACATCTAATCACAAAACAAACGGAATAACATTTCATTGGTAATTAACTATGTAATTTTTTCCATTATAGCAAAATTCAAGTTGAACTGGTCGTATTGAAGTGAAACAATTGATGACACCCGTCAATTATTTCGAATTCGGGCTGGCCAATCGGAGCGCAGTTGTCACCGTAATGATTTGGCAGAATAGTTTTCAAACAAATTAAATGACATTTCGTCTCTATTTCTGGCTATATACTCGATATATATACTTGACGTACAAACAAATTTTTACATATGAAAACGTCATTTTTTAAGCTACTCCTCGTTCACTACGCAGACCTCCCTGAGAAGAATGACCAAGAAACTCTAGGGATTGCTATTTTCAAGTACTTTGAATCATAATTGTGTGGAATCAAGACTCATGATGTCTTTCCATACTTCTTTATCTAAAATGCACTCTTCAATTTTGTAATATGACTTTTCGATTAAAATCCTTTAAATGTAAGTTTTAAATTTTGGAAATGATAATAATATACTTCGGAATCTTATTGTAAAAACGTATACAGTTCCCCATAAAAGAGTTATTTACCTTGGTTAAAAGAAATCGTGGTACCATGAATTTGGAATTAGTTCTAAGGTTAACATTATGGACATCATACCAGTCATTCCCAGAGTCATGATACCAGTATCCTTAAACTAATATTAAAAGAAAAGGATGTATTACGGCATTGTTTCTTAATCTGTGGTCCATGGGCCATGTAATGAATGGGTCCGTGGCGAGCCTACCTAACAACCGTCACACTAACTATTCACATGTAATTAAGTAAAGTTTAATCGCATACAATATGACCCAGTAAAAGCTCAATCTAGCGTTTTTACCTATTTGGAAAAGGGTCCGTGAGCTCTTTGACATTGTGGGAGGGGTTCATAACTAGAAAAAGGTTAAGAAAGAGGTTCTTTCCAACAAAAAAAAGAACCATCAAAATTGGTTCACAAATGCCGGAGCAACATTATCATCTTCATCATATGCAGCCTGACTTCACCCACTGCTGGGTATGGGCCTCCAAGCTTTTGTGCCACTCCCCAATCTCATCCAGGATCGCCTCGCAATTTTTATGACGTCGTGCCCACCGCATAACATTCACACAAAATAAAATACAGTCCAATTTAGAACATCCTCCTTTTTTAAAAGTCGGTTGAAAAAAGAGTATGACGAAAACGGTGGAAATTAAACTGTGTTTTAATCGTTAATTGTATATTATATATTTTAAATTTTAATTTAAGTTAAATTTTGTTAGAGACTTACTTAATTATTGTATTCCAGGTGGTCATTAACAACGTGCAGTTCTGTCAGTTCCAACACCGCATGCAGATGGAACGCATCTCATTCGTCGCCATCGATGGCGACTGTAACCTGAACATGATTGCTTTCGAGGCTAGCCAGGCTATGGTACGTATACACAAAGACATAAATGCACAAAGACACAGACATAAGCGATTTCCGATTGCGAATGATTTCAATATTCGCATCGTTAGTAATTACTAATCCTGTCATTCGAATGACAAATTAGTAACCTATTAATTCGAATGACCTGAATGATAATTCATTACTATACTCGTCTAACCATTTATTAACTTTTGATAGTTCGAATTCTAATCATTTAGTGATGTCCTAATGCGTTTCCGATTCTATTTTTTATAGATTTTATTTATTAAAAAGTTTTCATCGTGAATATGGGCGGGTTCCAAAAAAAAGGTCTGACTGAAGAATTAATAATTAATGTTAATGAGGATTCAAGTGATGATTCCAGTTCGTATGGAGAAGAATCCGACGATTCATTATAACAAACAATAAGATTTATTATAATTATTTTTCATTATTATTTATTAGACAGGTACCAAAATTTATCAACTTGAATAATCTTCGTTACATAATTTGTAGGCTCGATAAATATCGGACCTAAAAGCACGTGGCTACACTAAAATTCAAAAATAAAAGAGTCAGAGGCACGCATATGTCAAAAGTTAAATAAATAGTTGGACGGAGTATAGTCCATAGATTCCATAGAGCACAACGATACTAATGATCACCTAGCCCTCTCTGACACGTGGTAAATGTGACTGGAATAGGGATATTTTGATATGCACATAGTTCCGATGTAATAATCATTCGACTCGAGCCGAATGATTGTGCTTGGATTCGAATTAGGCGAATGATTTGCCCATTCGAATGATTAGCATTAGTGACATTTAAAGTTGCCCATCGCTAACAGACATATACAATAATAGACATTCGTCGCTAGGTAGAATTTTCAAAAATGTTTTTTTTTAACCCTTTTGCGGACAAAACACCACATCCCATATGTCGTCATTTCTCGTGCGTCAGGTCGAGATACTTCCGGCGTTTCTCGGTTTTGGCTTGCACGAGATCCTCGTCATACGGGATGGTAACGTCCACAAGGCATATCCTCGACTGCGATCGATCCAATATCACAATATCAGGCTTATTCGCAAGATTAGATTAGATTGTCTAGTACTTTCTCAACTTGACTATGGAGACATAGTGTACGGGCCTTGTTTACTAAGAAAAGTAGAAAAGAAAATCCAAAAAGTACAAAATTCATGTGTTAGATACTGTTATGACGTTCTTCCTCGCTCACACATAACTCCGTATCTTAATACACTTAGTATTTTAAGAATGAAAAACCGCAGAGTTTTAAAATTAAACACATTCGTTTATAATTTGCGGAAGTCCTGTACTCCAGCCTATTTGGCTAGAAAATTAAATTGGAACGATAGGGATGAGCGTAATGTACGGGCAATACGGTATCCTTCTCTACATATAGCACCACCTCCTAGAAAAGAAAGCGTTAAGCTTTACCGCGGGAGTTTCAAATTCGCTGCATCTAAGTGCTGGAATGATTTGCCTCCTCCAGTACGAAACTCAAAGTCATCTTGTACTTTTAAAAGAAAGTGCAAGCTTTGGTTACTTTCGAGGCAAAGATCAGAAAGTAATTGGATGTAGTTTGTAATTATATTTTTACGTGTGGGTGCTGTTCATCTCTACCTAAACCCCAAATTTGAGTATTTTTAGGTGGAATATTTTATCTATTTCAGGTACTATAAGGACAATAGATTTATTATAACTTTATTATTTTGTGATATCTTTTGGAGCTACTCGAGACGCGTCAGACAAATACTATGATTAAAATGTAGCGAGTTTCAAAAAGGTAGGGTCTGAAAAACAGCTTAACCTGAGACTCTATCCTTTTATCTACACAGTATCTATAAGTGATGTTATTTACGACTAAATTGTTTTGTAAATGTAGATAAATAAAGTTCTTTATTATTATTATTATTAAGAATAGTCCAGTCTGTGATAATGGATCGATCCCAATAGATTTTGGTGCGGTCATCTTCGAGTATTGGCTCCGGTCAATACTTGTAATATGGCAACCTCTGTTGTACTAGTCCGTACTTCAGAGCGAGCTCTTGGTGTAATATTTTGGCTGCCTGGTTGTGTCTGTGCAAGTACTCAGTGTTAGCAAGAGCGGAACAACCAGGAACAATATGCCTAAGTCACTCTCCGGGACGGCTACATGCCCGACAAATGTCTACACACTACAACAAGGCAACTGTAAAGTGTGAAACACACTAAGAGCGAGGGCGGATCGGGCGCGTGTCGGGTCGGGAGCACGGCGGGTCTAATTCCGCACGGAACGGGCGCACGCGCTCGATCGTGATGTGTTTTCGTCCATATAAAAACACGGAATTAGACCCAATGCTCCTGACCCGACACGCACCCGACCCGCACCCGTTCTCATTGTTTCACGGTTAAAATGCTAGGACTGATTTTGGATCGTTATTTACATAGCACTAGTTACTACTTTATTTACTTCGTAATTATAAGATTCAATGCTAAAATGCATTCTTCGAATGGATGGACATTTAGTTTACTACATACATGTTTGGTAGCTTGGTTTACTTTACTTTGCTAATGTTGTCGTAAAAGATGTCAGCAACCTGAACCTCAGACAATTTAGCAACAAGAGACCACGTTTCCAATTAACTTTGAGAAATGACATTATGAACACTCGGCCACAGGCTCCTACATAAAACATCTTATTTTTAAACTGCAAATATGAACGCTGTGTAAATGACATAAGGTATAATTTTTTTGAATATTTAAGCCTCTCTCCTGAAAAGTTATTATTTTGCAGACCAAAGTTGTCCTAAATCGTGAAATGCACAGAGAGCGGGTGCGGGTCGGGCGCGTGTCGGGTGCTGAGCGCGGCGGGTGTAATTCCATGTATTTATATGGACGACAACACACCTTGCGCGGGCGCGAGACGGGCGCACGCGTCCGGGCGTGTTGTGTTGTGGTCCATGTAAATACACGGAATTATACCCGCCGCGGTCCCGACCCGTACCCGCTCTCTGTCTCTTTCACATTTAACACAATGTAGATCAAAATACAATAATTCAGAGGGAGGTGTTATCACTTCTATATGAATATATTCTGCCTATGTCGATTTCTAAATATTTTTTCTTGCAAGTTATTTAAAGTATCACCAACGCCATCTACAGTTGTGTTCACGCAACAAAAACGGTATTCGATCAAAAGAACTGGTTTATCCAACAAGAAAACTTATTGTAATTTGTGTAAAGTCTGAAAGAAGAAGTTAAATTACGGAGTTGTATATAAATGATGAAGATTTATCTTTAAGGTAATACGGTTTTACTTCTATCATTGTTTCTTTAGGGCGCTTTTAAATTAGACGGTTATGGAAGCGGGCAGTGGTGCCATTAAAGTAGTACTGCAGTGGCGTCACTAGTAATTTTCATGTTTGGAACAACAATGTTTGGAAGTTCAGTCTCAGGCGCGTCACTTTCGCAGTCATAATTAGAGTGCGTTCACATGAAAAGCGTTTGACGTGCGTTCTAAGGGCGCTTAAAATAAAATGTCGGATGAACATGTTTGAGGTTTTCACGATTGTTTTCAAATATTTACGTTCTGTTTTAAATTAAATTTGAAAACTTAAATATTAATTGAAAGCGATATTGAATTTTAAAACCGGTTCAGCGGCGCGTTCCAATGTTTGCGCGTACATTGCGCGCAAACGTGTGTCTTCTGCCGTCCAGTAACTAATACGCGGTTAAGTGACAAATGGTCAAATATCCGTTTTAAAAACTAAATTATATTAACATTTGAGCTAAGTCCAAACTCATGGTGCCACGATTTCGTTTAACCAAGGTAAACACCTCTTTTATGGGGAACTGTATACGTTTTTACAATAAGATTCCGGAGCATATATTAAGTTTATCATTTCCTGCAACATTCTAAAACTGGGTTATGGTTTTTTATGATATCTTAAAAATATTTTATGGTCTAAAAAAATATTGACGTTGGCTCCGCCCAAATTTGTGAAACAAATATATGCCTGAAGTTCGCGTGACATGCGACAGGAGATGTTGAATTTTGCGCATTAAAAGTACCAAATTCGTTTTAGCGGAATAACTCTAAAACTAAAAGGATTAAAAAAAATCCGTAGTGATAGTTCTCGATCATGCATAAATATAATTAATTATCTAATTTTTGTCCTAATAACCTGTAGCATTTCGAGGATAAATCGAAAAAATGTGAAAATTCGAGGTCAATTTTATTTTTAAGTTCAAAGTGGATATACCCCTCTAAAATCAAATCGAAGATTAGGAATTTTTCCTCTGCTCCCTCTTAAGTGACGGGACGAACAAGTGGTGCACCCTATGGTAAGCGACATGCCTATCCATAACAGTTGCAGTGCCACTCAGGGCTTTAAATCGCAAAGATCTGAGGGGCACTGCTAGTGCGCCCGTCATCCTGAGACATAAGTTGACAAGTCCCATGTGCCTGTAATTACACCAGCACCCTTTAAAGGGTACTTTAAAACCGAAATACTGTAATGCAGAAATAGGCCAGGTGGCAGTTAGCACTGGTACTAAAATACACACACAACATATTTGTCAGTGTTTGTTTGTACGTCGAATATTTTTTCAAGTATATCAAACACAGGATAACGAATGCAAGTAGCCATGTGAAGTACAGCCACAACACAACATACAATTCGCGCCACCATGTTTTACCATTTTTTGCCGCTTCGTGTACGTCGAGATTTTTGTGACGTTTTTGATTGTCCACAAACAGTGGTCGACATCTGTAATGCAACAGTTACAGATGTCGACCACTATTGCAAGTGTCGTTTGCGAGCACTAATTATAGGCAAAATACGTACACGGCATTGAGACTTTTTAACAATGCGACAGTAAGTCACTCTGAATTTGATTTCTTTTTTACAAGCATAGACACAGTCAGTCGAGAAATGACCAAATTTGACTTTGACACATTACATGATTGGCGATGAATACACTGGTTTTGTTTGTATAATTGTCTATCGTAATGAAAAAAAAATATTAAAACCTTGAACGCCCCGCTGAACGCACCACCGTTGCGAATTTGTGACCCTAGTGAAGTAAGACGTAACGGCTGCTGCCGCTCCACAGTTAAGTCACTGCAGGGCTTCTATAAGCCTTTAATTTGAAAGCGCCTTTAGTATTCTATATTTGTTACTGTAGTTTTCGTTCATTCTTAGTGTTATTTAAAAGGATGGTATCGTACAAACGTAATTGGATTTAATTTTAGATATTAATTATAAACACTATGACATTTTGTAGATGCAATTTAGAAAGTAATACCTGGGGCACAGATTTATACCATACAGTTGCGTAATGAATGTACTTGTGCAGAGCAACGGTGGGGTATTTGCGGGGAAGCGGGCGCCGCGGGCTGCATCCTGCAAACACGCTTAGTTTGTAGGATCGACCGTTAAGGGTTGACGCGTACTTGAATTGAAATATTTTTGTTTACGGTCAGTGAGCTCTACAAAAACCGTTGTACGCGTTTTAAATCGTTCTGTGTACGTATGTAATTCATCTGAATACAATAGTTACCAAACTGTTTTAGATGACTTATTTAACTTAGGGTCCGGTATAGCGTCTAGCATACCGTGCCAGAGGCTATACCAACTAAGCAACGGAACGAACCAGCGGACCTCACGAATTTTTCTTTGTACTTGTTGTCGTATCTTTGTATTTGGTTTTTCAACGAGTTTTTAGCATATAGTTTTAATTTTATAATATTATTTAACGTCAATTTAATTTTAATATTTGCGTGCCAGCACCTGGTGTGTTCATGACACCTTGTATAATATATTATGTTACCTTGTTTGCTTGCGAATAAAAATATTTCATTCCATTACTGTTTGGCGGCAGAAATAGATAAGGTGGCAGTACTTCTCTGGACTGGAATTTAAAAGTATATAATTTGTCAAATAAGCAATTACAAATAAAATTAAGAAAAATGCTAATAAAGTAACAACAATAAAATCATTATATAAACAATATCAAAGAAGTATGAACAGCGCAAATACAAACAAAATATCAATTTCTTTCATTAAAAAGAAATGTTTCAAGCATTGCGAACTAAAACGGTCTTTTATCCGATTTGTACTTACAAAGCAATCCGACCCAGACTGAAAAAGAGCGGACGCAAGACAGGTACAAAAGTCGACGTTATTTTTATGTTGTAACTTATTCCAAACAATCTATATTATAATAGTGGCTACAATAAGTAATATTTCGTCAAGACCCAATAAATCTTCATTATAATTAAAACGTATTAACGTTATCTACAATACAGCGTTAAAAAAAATTGTACAATTTTAATAACGTAATGTGTCACGCGAAATATGCATCCATAATCACGGCGCAGGCAAATGAGGGGTTGACTTAAAGAACCAAATTGTCTGTTAAATTTTTATGGAAAACTTTAATAGCTCGCATTCCGAGCATTCGAAAGAGGAGCTTGGATGATTTTCTAGCGATCTTGTCGCGTATATTTTTTTGATTTTGTTTTTCGAACAAACCAACGTTTCGGGTCACCGGGTCTTAAACAATATAAAAGAAGTATAAAATTAAGAAAAATGCTAATAAAGTAACAACAATAAAATCATTAAATAATTATATATCAAAGAAGTATGAATAGCGCAAATACAAGCAAAATGTCAATTTCTTTCATTAAAAAGAAATGTTTCATGTCATATAAACACAGATCACATAATAAATGCGAGAAAGTTTTATTGCGTTCCGATTTTGAACGGTAAGGGTACTGGTGAAATTACAGGCACATTGTCAACTTATATCTCAGGGTGATGGGCGCAGTGGCATTGCTCCTCAGATCTTTGCGATTTAAAGCTCTGAGTAACACTGCCACTGTTATGGACAGGCGTCTCGCTTACTATCAGTCACATAGTGTCATAAAAAAAATCTTCATTACTTCTTCCCATATTAGATCCTTTCAAACATTGGATAAATGTGTATTTAAATAAACAAACCCTCTACAGGCCTCTGCTCCACCAGCCTACGGCATGCCGCCCTACGGCGCTCCACCACCAGCTTACGGTGCTCCCGGTTACGGCCAACCACCCGGCGGTTACCAGCCGAATTACGGCCAGCCGGGGTATGGCCAGCCGCCCGGTTACCAGCCGCCCAATTATGGACAGCCAGGTTAGTTGGACATGTGATATTATTTCTACTTTACTGGCTTTAGAATCGACAGTAAAATTTTTTTAAATCTATTTTGTACTTCGGGGAAGAAAGGACGTAAACGCCTTCTAATTGGATTACATTTTAGCGCTCAAAAGATCGTACCTTTGGTGTGAAAGTCATAAAAATAACCACAAGATCAAACAATCTAAAGAGAGATTACGTAGAAAAACTAACTATAATTAAGAAGAAAAAATTTAACGTCACACACTTATCGCGCAGTATAGGGAAATCTGAAACCATAGAAGATACAAGGAAACTTTCTTTAGAGTCATTAAATCTTTTTTAACCGACTTCAAAAAAAGAAGGAGGTTCTCAATTCGACTGCATTTTTTTGTATGTTATCCGATAACTCCGGATTTGTGAACAGATTTTTATGATTCTTTTTTTGTTGGAAAGAGGGTACCTCCATGGTGGTCCCGTTTCATTTTGAAGAAAATCATCCACCTCTAAGGGTGGCTGTTCACGCATGAAGATTCATTTTTATAAATAGCGCCTAAATTTTATTATTAGCAGCAATTATTTTAATGGTTGATTTTGCTATTCTCCAATTCAAGGCGTTTTTCTCTCTCAATATACAATTTTGGCAATGTATATTTTTTGGTAAGGAGTTGTCCATAACAATGAATAAAATTGATCAAAATTCTTCACGAAGGAATCAATTTACGTGATGAAAGAAATCGGGACAGCAAAAGTTATATTTTTTTCATACAAAATGAATAAAATTTACTAATATTTTAATGCTAATAGACTCAGTTTCTTATAAGGACTACGTCATTGTATCGAAAGAAACAGTTGATACAGCAGAAGTTGGTCAAATTTTATAAAACTCACTTGATTTTGACTTTGACCAAACAAATGACTATGCTAAAATTGCTCTCACAAAAACGGACTTATAGTTTGTCGTCTTTGAAGACGGAGTAAAATGGCAGTTCATTGCGTAATAGTGTTGCCCGCTTGCGAGCAGCTAGTGATTTCTGTCGATAAATATTCTATCGACTATCGACTGAATATTGGTCACGCTTATGGAATCAATAATCGGACTTGTTTCATTTGATTCATCCAATTACAAGTTCATTTGAATTGACAATTTATGTAAGTTCACACATACGTATACTGTATTTAGAACTATGTTTATGAAAAATGTAAAGTGGAGACATATTTTAAAGTTTTTAATTTTAATTAATGTCTGCCTGTTTTTGTTAAAATGTATGTGAGTAAAAATTTATTTCGGTACTAGTAGGGCAATTGTCAAAATAAGAATAAAGAAGGCAATAACGCAATTAATAATTATTAGACTGTCGTAACATTCGCACATTTTTGGCAAATATTATCTTCTTTCACAATCTATCGATGAAACTATCGACAACGAAAACTGGTAACCCTACAAATGTCATTTTACTCCGATCAAGAAAAACATCTATTGTTTCGGATTTCCCCACACTGTGCCATTTAAAAAAAGACACTCGCATAAAAAAATTCGGTCAATTTCATTCGTAGAAGTTTGAAACCTCTCTCCTGAAAATTTGTCATTTTGCAGATGTGACTTTATTACACTAAGGGTGCGACATGCTTCAATTATGTATATAATATTTATAAAAATAAAAAGCTATGGACTAAAACGTGTATAATGGATGTTACGCCGTTTCTTCCACGAAGTATCGTATTGTCTGTTCAACTGCCTCAGTACAAGACCATTACCTCTTCGCCTTAATCTAATGGCTATTGAATATCGTCAGAAAAATATTGTTCTAATTAATCCGTGTGCAGTGCGACATAACACGTAAACTGTTAACTGCTGTCAGCTGACTCAGTTAAGCGGTCGGGCCACAGAACAATAAATACAATAAAATTGGTTAGTTAACGTCTGACGCGTGCTAACTATAGGTTTCGAAAGACTTGTGTCATTTTTTCGTGCAAATCTAAAATCGCAGAACATAGTACTTTATGTGAACTGTTACATAATGAAAGGCGTTAGAACACTGTACTGTAACACACACAAACACTCGGTTTATGAAACGAACCGATAGGCGAGTTTCATAAAAACATCACACGAGTGTTTTAATGCATAATTATTATTATATTTTTTTTATTCAGGGAAACAAACAGTCATAAAACAGGGGTTCTACTAAAACATTGATTAAAATAATTAGACCTAGAGTTCCACAAATATATACAAGAAATAGTGAGCAAATACGGTTCAACTACAAAACATAAGAATTATTAATAACATATCATAAAATAACAATACCCGATAAATAAAAATGCTTATAAAATTTTTTGAACAATTAACAATAAATAGGTAAACTAATAAACTTAAAAAACTTTAAAAAAAGTTAAATACACTGCTTTATCTATACACGTATTATAAGCTCTCTATGATGTTCTCAGGAACCGCATGTTACGACTGGCGAAATGGCGGCAAATAAAAACTTTTCTCACGCATGTCACACAACCGTAGTTTTTATTTAATTCACAGACAAACTAGAATCGGCCCCAAATATCATATCGTTCGATATTAAGTAACGTGTGAGATTTGTCAAAATTGTTTGCTATCGACATTTGACTTCGAATAAAACTTCATCACTGATATTAGAATTGAGGGCGAATCAAATTGCTTTGTTTTTCAGAGATGTTCGAAATTTTAATATAATAATAAAATCGAATTCGATGTTATTATTTTGCAATAATAACATTTTCACAGGAAAGAAATTTGTTGTAACAAAACAGTTTATCTTTATGCTGGTCGTAATTTGCAGTTTTTGAAGACATCATAGAGGGTTTATGATATGTGCGTAGATAAATGCCTTACTGTGCCGTTTTGGAGTGCAAAAATATTAATCGTAGTGGTATTTCATATCACCGGAAAGTCTTTATTTAAAAAATTTTCTGTTTATCGAAATAATTGTTCTTGTTACAAGAAACGAAAGTAAAGTTTATACCCCTGCTATATGGTTGCTTCTTTTTTAGAGAACTAAATTAATAACTTAATTCGTCGTCGTTCGCCAATTAACCGCTAGATGGCAGCACATTGATTGAAATTTCAATATAATATCAGAACGTCGTAACTTGCAATAACAGGTATTGATGGTATTGAACTTAAAACGATATGCCAACTGTGTAAAGTTTAAATTATATTAACAATCCAGAATTTGTTATTTCTTTTTAAATTCAAATTTTAAAATTAAAATACGATTAATCAATATCAAGATTGTGTAGTGTCTCAAATTAAAAATGTGTTAATTTTGGCGATATTGGCTCTGATAATAAACGAGGCTTAAGGTACTTTGGTACTACCATATTTTTTTCCGTAGATAGGCCTGTAACTACCAAATTTTTTGTTTACCAAAGACAATATTCTTATATACGCTACGTATTTACTTATTACTAATTTATATATAGTTCATCTTGTACAGTTTTGAGGCTAAGCTAGTGGTCTGGTTCTGAGGCGTTCAATAGATAATAACCTTGAGAGAAACTGACGCCATCTAGCGGCCGTAATTATATCTCTTGGTGACGGCCATTACACAAATTGATGAATCACACAGGACATTTTCTAGGAAAGCATGCTATATCATAAGACCATAGACAATGTCGTGGCGTCATCCACCGCTGTGTTATAAAAAAGTGCGTTTGAAATTGTATGAGGTGATTATAACCATGATACTGAAAACAGTTTTCCACATAAACTCATACAAAAATTTTTGTATGAGGTCTAGCCATGGTGGTGAACAATTTTATTTGATGAACTACGTGTAATAGTTGTAGTGCCACTCAGAATCTTAAATAGCAAAGATTTGTTGGGCACTGTCTGCAATGTCATCTTGAGACACAAGTTGGACAAGTTCCATGTACCTGTAATTTGACCAGATCCATTACCTAAACGCAATAATATTTGATGGTGTGTGAAAAGTTTTTTTTATCCGGTACCATGGGCAAAATCGCCCTGTGTAATATCAGACACTATTTTTAACATGGCCGCCAGATGACGCCACAGCTCCCCTAAGAACCCGAAACTGCGCCGGCGCAGCTTACGAACGTGACAATAGATTTATTGCACTTATGAATTCATACAACTTTTGGTAAAGGGAAATTTTATTTTAGGTATTTTACGATATTATAATAAAAGTTGTCGGTGTTCATCAGTGGATTGTTTAAAATTAACAAACTAACAAAATAACTTTATGTAGATTGAGACAATTAATAGACAAGTACAGCTGCCTGCAAGTAAATGAAAGAAAAATCGATTTTTTTTAAATATTTTGGTCCGTATTAACGTTTTCATTGTTATATCTCTATGTGTGTATTTCCATATATTAACGCAGGCATCTGTACCGATAGCGTTGAAATGATCTGAATGAGTCCAAACTACCATGACATATCTACACATAACTTTGGGTGGAACCTTGAACTAGTAACTTAAGAGGACTGATAATCACGATACAAGATGGCGGGTATTTAGTACCTGTTCGTACACTAGATGTCGCGACGAGTACCAAATAGCTATTTTGCATCGAGTATATAACCAGAAATAGAGACGAAATAAGGGCCATACATTCCTGGTAACGCATCAGTGATACATCACTTATAAATATCAACTCTCGTTTGCACTGAAATATAAACAGCGCCAACAACTGACCTGTGTGTACATCTCCGTATATTCTGCTGTTCCATTCGGTGGTGTGGGGAAAAACAGCAAAACATCTACATTACAAAACAAACGGAATCAAATTTCATCGGTAATTAAATATTAAATATGTAATTTTGCAATTTTCGTCCATTATAGCAAATATCAAGTTAACTTGTCGATTTGTAGTGAAACAATTGGCGAGACCCGTCAATTGTTTCGAACTCGGGCTAGCCAATCGGAGCGCAGTTGTCACAGTATGATTTGGCAGAATAGTTATCAAACAATTAAATTACATTTCGTCTCTATTTCTGGTTATATACTCGATGTATTT